AAAGCCAGTACATGCAGTAGGATCAAAACCCAGTGCCATTGTCCTTGGCTTCTCATCAGCCCTCATTGTCCGCCATGTTCAGAGAGTCCGGTTTTATCCCATGCTTTTTCAGTCGCAGTCCAGCTGGCCTTGGTGAGTTCCCAATAGATCAGCCCCACTGTCTCAGTGGGTGGGTGCACCCCTCGCGGTCCTGAGTTCCTTGCTTATGTTCTCCCTCCATCTGCTCCTCATTTGGACCTTGGGAGCTATCATTAGTATGAAATATATTCTGAGTAATTAATAGTTTATATACAATGATACAGAGCATGGGAGATCTTGAAATTTTTCATAGTACTCTAATTATCAGAGATGACTTTAGATCACGTGATTTAGGAACTTCTGCCAACAAACACATATCTAGACACTTTATTATTTTAAACAGGCACTAATGGGTTTGAAAGATGGCTCAGTGATTAAGAGTGTACACTGCTCTTGCAGAAATCCTGAGTTCAGTTCCCAGCACCTATGTTGGTAGCTCACAATTGCCTGAAACTCCAACCCCAGAGGATCTGATACCTTTGGCCTCTGTGGGTACCTACACTCACATGCATCCCCTAAACATGCTCAATTTTTTTGAGATAGTGTCTCTCTATGTAGTCCTGGTTGCCCTAGAACTCACTATGTAGACTAGGCTATCCTTGAACTCACAGAGATTGCCTTTTTAAGTGCTGGCATTAAAGATGTATTCTACCATGCCTAACCTTTAATAAATTAAAAAATTAATATCTATCTAAATAATAGTTTTTAATATAAATATTTATCTATATGCCATGTTTACAATAGGTGCTAGTTTTTAAGGTAGTTAATATAAAAAGGCCAGAACTGAAGGGAGGAACTTGGAGATCACTGTAAAGTTGCTTGTAAGATTCTTTTCAAGTAGGTCTGTGGGTCTCTTCAGATTCTAGAAGTAACAGGATGGGGAGTACAAATCGAAGACAGTTCAGCTCTATATTGTCACTTTCAATTTTATTTGACATATATGTTTGATAAAAACACAGAAGAAAACTAAATATTAGCTCAAAGTATTTTTTTCTCAGAATGAATAATGTTTCTTCTGTGTTCAAATGTAGAAAAAATCTTAGAGAAGATATTCAACATAGTTGCCAACAATGTCACTGAAATAAGTTTTGAATTTTTGCAACAAAAACTGAACATCGCAAGCTCAGAAAATAGCCTCCCTGTAAAGAAGTAAGTATAAATGGCATTTGGTACAAATGTACTTTCATACCTCATTTACATGATCTTCATATCAACATAGTTTTGAAATATTTACATTAACATAAACTCTACTATAGCTTCTGATGTATTTGTGATAGTTGCTGGGCAGCCATACAATGTTATGAAGAAGAAGAAGAACTGTGTGAGGAGAAGCTGTTGGACTTTCAGTCCAACTGATTTCCTGAACTTGAGCTTCTCCTTTTCTTTCTCTCTGCTTCAGTTTCTTCCATGGTAAAATGAATACCCAAGCTTAGAAAGTTGCCATGACAATCAAGTGAGACCAAGCTGTAAAGTATGCATTTTATTGTATTGGTTTATAGTAAGTAATCCACAGTGATTATTGTCTTAATAGTTGAATGTAAGTTGAAATGTGGGCTTTTTATAAGAAAAAAAAAGGAGTTAATCTTTGCTTCTGTGTGTCAGGCTCATTGTAAATGAATGTTCATATATACTGTCTTCAGTTAAATTTAGTCTCACGTTAATGTGGAAAATTTGAAAACTTAGATAATCTTTGAGTAGCTTAAATAATGGTTTTGGCTTGTTATTAAGATAATCATTATTTAATTTTCACAGCACTGTTCCATTAAATGAGAGGATCTACCATACACTTATCAAGTGGAAAGCAGATAAAAGCTCGTTACTCACAGCTACTGCCTTAAGAGACCAACTTGTTCGGGCACTAAATATGATAGGCGCCTACAACATAATAGACAAGATCACGGCCTTGAATCTTTATACAAGTGCCATCAAAATCTAGCCCGTGAATCTGAAGTAGAAGCTGAAAACTTATGAGGCATATACAGAATTCATTTTCCCTGATATAAAGGAATTATTTGTATATCGTGTCTCCTTTTGTTTTTAGTAGTGGTTTTCATTTGTGTGTGAACATGCACGTGCTGCAGTTGATGTGTACAAGTCAAAGACACTTCGAGGTGTTGATTTTCTCCTCCCGTCATGTAGATCCAGAGGCTGAAACCATGTTCTGACTCTTTCTTTATTCATTACTAAGAGGTGCTGTAAGTCTGCGCCTGCCATCCTAGTTTCACCATAACAAAATATTAGAGACAAGGCTTTGTGTATTTTTCTGTTTTAATGAATTTGAAAATAATTCTATTAAAATATTTTAACATTCTATTTATTTTATTTTACTAGTCAACATGTGTAGATAATAATAGGTTGTTGATGGTTTCCATTGAATTTATAAACAAGATAAGTTTCTGATTTATAATGAAAATGGCATACCATCTCTGTTTTCCCCTCATTTAGGAACTGGGTGTCATTATCCATAAAATAAGGCTAGGGCTGGTATTCCTTCAGCTGAATGTCCTGATGGTAATGAAGGAATTGGCATCTTTCATCTTCCTGTCCTGTATTTTCCTCTTTTTCCTGCTGCCAGAAATTTTCATTCATGAGGAATCTGTTACACACATTTTATGTGTGACTGCACTTGTTGTATGGAACCTGTTTCCCTCTTCCTTGAAGCCACTAATATGCAGGTCTGATTGTCTGTGGCAAGCCATTTGACTCAAGCCAAGCCAATGAGTTTCCCTTGGTCTTCTCTGGAGAACTTCCAGGGAAGATGATTATACATCTGGGAGTATGTGGTCATCTCTCAAGTGTTGCACAGAGGAAGATAAAACCCTAGTATATTGTTTGGGCCTCGAATCTAACCATATCTGAAGCTCACTTTCTTCTGAACATTTCACTTTCACCCATTTAAGTTAGCATGACTCACATGGCTTTCTACAACTTTGAATGAAAAGAGGCCAATTTAAGTAGTTAATAATATTGTAGATACAATGTAGTTAAAATGTTATATGAGAAATAATTGTAGGAACTAATTTATCTTCCTGGTTGGAATTTGTATATATTTTGTCAGTTGTGAAATGCATTATAAAATATTGGTTCAACAGCAAAAAGCCTCCATCCCTAATCTGCCCCATTTAAAGATACTTTCCAGTAGGAATATTACTACCCTGGGTTTGTATTAGCCCATACCTCATTAGAAGAGGGCTATTTTTACAGAAGATTAGAGTGGGAAGAACACTGCAAATTTTCTAGTGATATCACTTTTACAAATGAACAATTTAAGACCTAGAAAATGTAAAGTGGGTACAAGAGAAGGAAAGGGAGAAGAAGGGGGAGAATGGAAGGAGAGGAAGGGGAGAGGGAGAGAAGTAAGGAGAGAAGACTGGAAAACATCAGAACAATAAAAGTACCTGGTCCTTATTGTTTCTTACCAAACCACTACAGTAACCTTTATATTTTAGCCCCCCCCCGTGTGTGTGGTTGTGTGCAAACAGTCTATGGTGCAACTATAAGGGTCAGAGGACAATTTCAGGGGTCTGGTTTCTCCTTACATGGCTCTTGTTTCTGCTGCATTGAGTACTCTAGGACAGCTGGCCTGGGAACTATACAGTTCTCTTGTCTTGGCTGCTCTTCTTGCTAAAAGTCTTTTATCTATCTATCTATCTATCTATCTATCTATCTATCTATCTATCTATCTATCTAT